GAAGGCCACCTGTAGAGCCACCAAAGCCAACTCAAGAGCCACCAAGGCCACCAAAGCCCAACTCAAGTGCCACCAAGGCCACTGAAGGCCACCTGTAGAGCCACCAAAGCCAACTGAAGAGCCACCAAGGCCACTGAAGCCCAACTCTAGAGCCACCAAGGCCACCAAAGCCCAACTCAAGAGCCACCAAACCCAACTCAAGAGCCACCAAAGCCAACTGAAGAGCCACCAAGGCCACCAAAGCCCAACTCAAGAGCCACCAAAGCCAATTCAAGTGCCACCAAGGCCACCAAAGCCCAACTCAAGTGCCACCAAGGCCATCGAAGCCCAACTCAAGAGCCACCAAACCCAACTCAAGAGCCACCAAACCCAACTCAAGTGCCACCAAGGCCACCAAAGGCCACCTGTAGAGCCACCAAAGCCAACTCAAGAGCCACCAAGGCCACCAAAGCCCAACTCAAGAGCCACCAAGGCCACCAAGGCCTCCCGCAGAGCCACCAAGGCCACCAGCGGAGCCCCCGGGGCCGCAGCCATGAACTCGTCGGGTTACGAAGACGCGGCGCCGGCCGAGGAGGCGGAGGAGCTGCCGGCGGCCGAGAAGGAGCTGGCGGAGGACGCGCCGTGGAAGAAGATCCAGCAGAACACGTTCACGCGGTGGTGCAACGAGCACCTCAAGTGCGTCAACAAGAGCATCGGGGACCTGCAGAGGGACCTGGGCGACGGCCTGCGCCTCATCGCCCTGCTGGAGGTGCTGAGCCAGAAGAAGATGGGCAGGAAGCACCACCCCAGGCCCAACTTCCGCCAGATGAAGCTGGAGAACGTCTCGGTGGCGCTGGAGTTCCTGGAGAGGGAGAGGATCAAGCTGGTGTCCATCGGTGGGTGAGGGCTGTGGGGCTGGGATGTGGGGATGGGATGTGGGGTGTATGGGGCTGTGCTATGGGGTGCGCTATGGGGTGTGCTATGGAGCTGGGTGCTGTGCTATGGGGCATGGGGTGATGCTGGAGTTCCTGGAGAGGGAGAGGGTCAAGCTGGTGTCCATTGGTGGGTGAGGGCTGTGGGGCTGTGCTATGGGGCTGGGCTATGGGGCTGGGTGCGGTGCTATGGGGTGTGCTATGGGGCTGTGGGGTGCACTATGGGGCTGGGTGCCGTGCTATGGGGCTGTGCTATGGGGCTGGGTGCTGTGCTATGGGGCATGGGGTGATGCTGGAGTTCCTGGAAAGGGAGAGGATCAAGCTGGTGTCCATCGGTGGGTGAGGGCTGTGGGG